TGAAAGAAACTGAGGACACAAATAAAAAGAAAGCTAATCCATGCTCACAGATTGGAAAAATTGATAGTTAAAATGACCATATTACCCAAAGCAAGCTACAGGTTCAATGCAATCCCTTTCAAAACTGCAATGGCATTTTTAACATAACTAGGAAAAAATAATCCTAAAATAAACCACAAAAGAACCTGAATAGTCAAAACCCTGAGAAAGAATAAAGCTGGAGATATCATATGCTCTGATCTCAAACTATATTATAATGCTACAACAGTCAGAACAGTATGGTACTGGCATAAAAAACAGCCACACAGATCGACACAACCGAATAGAGAGCCCAGAAATTAACCAAAGCACCTATGGTCAAGTAATCTACAACAAAGGGGTCAAGAACATACAGTGAGAAAGAACAGTCTCTTCAATGAATGGTGTTGAGAAAACTGAACAGCTACATGGAAAAGAACCAAACTGGATTACTTTCACACCATATACAGTAATACTCTAAAAATGGATTAAAAACTTAAATGTAAAACCTAAATCCACAAAACTCCTAGAAGAAAACATATATAGTGCACTCCTGACGCCAGTCTTAGCAATATTTTTTTGGACACATCTCCTCAGGGAAGGGAAACAAAAACAAAAATAAACAAATGGAACTATATCAAACTAAAAAGCTTTTGCACAGCAAAAGAAACTATCAACAAAACAAAAAGATTGCCTACTGAATGGGACAAAATATTTGCAAAAAACATATCTGTTAAGGGGTTAATATCCAAAATACACAAAGAATTCACACAACTCAACATTAAGAAAACAAATAACCCAACAACAAAATGTGCAGAGCATCTAAATAGCTATTTGTCCAAAGAAGATATACAGATGGCCAACAGACACATGAAAAGACCACTCATCATCAGGGAAATGCACATCAAAACCACAGTATCAGTAGTATCACCTCACACCTGTCAGAATGGCTCTTATCAAAAAGACAAGAAATAACAAGTGTTGGCAAAGATGTGGAGGAAAGGGAACACCTCTGCACTGTTGGTAGGAATATCAACTGGTGCAGCAACTGTGAAAAAAACAGGGGAAACAATTTAAATTCCATTAACTGACAAAAGGATAAACAAAATGTGGTTAATCCAAAGAATGGACTACTACTGATCACAAGATGGAAAGAAATACTAACACATGCTACAGCTTGGATAAACAAAGAAACTGGTCATAAAAGACCACATGTTATATAATTCTATTCATATGAAATGTCCAAAATAAGGAGGGGCTGGGGGGTGGGAGCACAAGCTGGAATCAAGATTGCTGGGGGAAATAACAATAACCTCAGATGACACCACCCTTATGGCAGAAAGTGAGAAGAACTAAAAGAGCCTCTTGATGAAAGTAAAAGAGGAGAGTGAAAAAGTTGGCTTAAAGCTCAACATTCAGAAAACTAACATCATGACATCCAGTCCCATCACTTTATGGCAAATAGATGGAGAAAGTGGAAACAGTGGCTGACTTTATTTTCTTGGGCTCCAAAATCACTGCAGATGGTGACTGCAACCATGAAATAAAAAGACGGTTACTCCTTGGAAGAAAAGTTATGACCAACCTAGACAGCATGTTAAAAAGCAGAGGCATTACTTTGCCAACAAAGGTCCGTCTAGTCAAGGCTATGGTTTTTCCAGTGGTCATGTATGTATGTGAGAGTTGGACTATAAAGAAAGCTGAGTGCAGAAGAATTGATGCTTTTGAACTGTGGTGTTGGAGAAGACTCTTGAAAGTCCCTTGGACTGCAAGGAGATCCAACCAGTCCATCCTAAAGGAAACCAGTACTGAACGTTCATTGGAAGGACTGATGTTGAAGCTGAAACTCCAATACTTTGGCCAACCTGTTGAGAAGAGCTGACTCACTGGAAAAGACCCTGATGTTGGGAAAGACTGAAGGCAGGGGAGAAGGGGACGACAAGAGAATGAGATGGTTGGATGGCATCACCAACTCAATGGACATGAGTGTGAGTAAACTCCGGGAGTCAGTGATGGACCGGGAGGCCTGGTGTGCTGCAGTCCATGGGGTTGCAGAGTCGGACACAACTGAGCAACTGAACTGACTGACTAACTGGAAGGTGGGAGTTGTAAAGAGGTTAACAGCTAAAGGGTTTCCTTTTGATGTGATTAAAATATTCTAAAAAGGACTATGTTGATGGTTGTACTGCTGTGAATATACTAAAGATCACTGAATTGCACACTTTAAACGGGTGAATTGTATGGTATGTAAGTTTATCTCAATAAAGCTGTGTAGAAAAAAAGTGTTATTTTTAAAGGTCAAATTTGACATATAAAAAAAATCCATGATGAACAAAGTATCAAAATTTAAACACTGGGATATGTATTACTTATTTTTTCTTTGCTTCAGGCTCCAATATGGACCATTAAAGCACTGTTACTAATCCTGACTTTAAGATTTTGCTATTTTTTTCATCATACTGATTGTATTAACTTTAAGTTTTAAAATATTATCTTGATCTTTTTCAACAGTTTCCTTAGAGATCTAAAGAAACACATGCAGAGTGAGTACCTCAGGTAAAATGAACTAAAAAACAAACAAAACCTTGCCTGTAAAACTCCAAAACCAAATGGGAAAAATATTATTTGGAAAATAAAGTTGTGAGTACCATCTTGCACCAGGCAAAATAATGCCCCACAAAAGATGACCACAGAATGTGTAAATATTCAAAAGCAAAGTACAGATGTAATTAAGGATAGGGAGATTATCCTGGATTACCTGAGTAGGCCCAATATATTATTAATTATAAGGATCCTTATGCAGGGGAGGGAGGAAAATCAGAGAAACAGACATGTGAGGAAGTAAGCAAAGGTCTGAGAGATCTGAAGATGCTACAGTTCTAGCTTTGAAGATGGAAGCAGCCATATGCCAACCAGTGCAAGTGTCCCATAGAGCTGGAGAAGGCAAGGAAGCAGATTCTCCCTCAGAAAAAGAACACAGCCCTAGTGACAGCCTATTTTAACCCAGTGAGATCCACTTTGGACTTCTGGCCTTTGGAATTTTAAGAAACAAGTCTCTGGGGTTATTTTCAGCCACTAAGTTTGCACCCAGTTGTCATGGCAGCACTGGGAAACTGACACACATCTTTCCGATTATGGGGCTGCAACCCGCACCTCTCCATGAATGCAACTGTACTCTTTCAAGGGCGCCACTGCCACTCAAAACTAGCCAGGGTGATCCTTCTGGAGGGGAAAACCTATGAAAAGCACGAAAGGATGTTCATGGCGGACTTCACTGACGAGAGCCAGACAGTCTAAACGTTAACAACTAGGAGACTGTTGAATATGTAATAGTTTATCCATGTTATGAAATACTAAGCAGCCATTAAAAATTACACTTAGTGAGAATCTTTAATGACATGGAGAAATACTTAAGTATTTAAAATCTTAAGTGAAGAGATAAAAATGTTATACAGACATGTAATATATATATATTTCAAGTAATTTAAAACATATACATACATTCTATATAAGAATAAAAATGCAGGAGAAATAATATAAAAAAGTTAATAGTCATTTCTGTGACAGGAATACACTGACTTTCTTTAAACTTCCATATAATCTCTAAATTTACAACATGCACATTTATTTAGAATCCATCTCATTAAAAAAAAAAGTTGAAAAAAAGAAAGCCAACACTACATTTATAACACACATAACTGAAGCATGAAGCCATGAGTCAATCTCCTCATGCTGTTTTCCAAAATGGGAAATTAAGATGTTACACACTAAATATACTATAACAATGTTAATATTATCAAGTAATTTCTACCTATCAATTATATATTAATTAGAATTTAGTCTAAATGCTTAATAGTATACTAAAAACCAAAATGACACCAAAATAACTAAAAGATAAGCCCTCCTCCCATTTCTGATCTCATCTGCCCATATTTATTCTACTGTAGCCACAATGGCTCCCACCTTAGATCTTTGTTGGGAGTGTTCATTCACTACATAGCCATGTAGCTATTCCTTCACCTCCTTTCACATCTTGATTCAAATGTCACTTTCTTAATAAGGCCTACATGTACCTCCCTATTTAACACTAAAGCCTGCCCTGCATCCTGGCACCCTTCACTCATTCTTTCTTTCTTCCTTCTCCACAGCAGTTATCATCTTCTAACAAACTATAGAATTTTCTTTTTTTAAAGTATACTGTTTAATGTCTTTCTTCTGCTACTGGAAAACAAGAAAAAAAGAAGGATTTTCGTGGCAGTGGAACCTCATTAAGTCACTCATGTGTCAAAAGAGCCTGACACATAGCAGTTGCTCAATAAATATTTGTTGGATATATGGCTACACTAGAGACATATCAAAGGACAGAGTCAATAATACAATCTCTAACAATTGGATCTATTATTGCATGTAATAACCTAAAACTGGGCAATTTTCTGTGCATGTGTAGTTAAGCAAAATATATGGTATATTGGCCATCTTTATCATTCCTACACTTCAGTTTGTGTTTTACTGAAAACTTACAGCTGAATTTTTTTAAAAGCCTCAATTTTATTTTGTTAACATTGTGCAGTACAGACTGCATAACCAGGCAAGCAAATTAAAATGATACAAAGGTAATAGGTGATAACCCCCATAACTGTTTCCATTGGTATTTCTTCAGAGTGCAAATCCTCACTGTCCCATTAAGACATCATACTGGGAATGAGGAAGCCTAGTCAAATATCAAACACCTGACCTATTTTCTGAATCAATAAGCACAGTTGAGACTGCCTAATATCCAAAATGAGACTCAATCAGTACTTACTCCCTATGATTTCATAAGTAACCAGACTAGCCCTATTTATTTTTAAAGCAGTTCTGTATTATTTTTGAAGGGTTTGCAGCCTAGACCCTGTGACAGGGTCTCTACATCTCCTAAATAAAACAAGTCTCATAGAATAAGCAAGGGAAAAGCCTCCCCAAAGATGTTGTTCAGCCAATACCTCTGAATGACGTTCTACACTTCCAGTGTCTGATCCAGAGTGCTGCTCATTTACATCATCCTCAACGTCTGACCCTGAATCCCGTTCATCCTGTACTGGGGTAGCGCCACCATCATCTGCTTAAAAATAAAACAAAAACCCACTTAAGGAGTAAGATGGATGACATCCTCAACTGAAATGAACACAATAAATCAAGAATAAGGTAAGAGCAAAGGTCACCACTGATGAAGCATAACTAATTTGTGAACAAGTACAATACGTACATAAATACTAACAGTCATAACCTGTACTGTTGACACGTGGCAGTGAAAATATATCATTAAAGGAACGTGAAGCTTAAGAAATGCCACTAAGAACCAAGTCAACAAATTCTAAATAACTGTGTGCACTTTCAACTTTGTTAAAATAATGAAGTCTATTTTCTCCACAGCACTTACTTACCACCTACTAATGGACTACATGAGTTTCCAAGTTAGTTTTGTTTAATGTGATTCTCTCCTCACTTAAATAAAAGTGCCAAAAGAGCAGAGATTCTAGTTCACTGATGAATCCCTGGAGTGGAGAACACTACCTGGTACAGTATTTGTTTATGAATGAAGAGCACACAGAATTCCATTCCAGAAATAGTGTAAACTCCTGTAAGTAAAAATATATACTACTATACTATTATAAAACAAATTGCTACCTATCTTTAACCAATACTTTAAAAATACAAAGAAAAATTGTACTGAAAGGAATTTAGAACTGTTGGAGGATACAGGAAGTCTTGGTTAAAAGTTTAATAAAAACAAAATTTAAAATATAAACCAGCCAACTACAGGGAAAACAAAACAAAAAAAAGTTTAAGAATGAAATCACTATCATACTAATGAACTATTCTACTCAGCTAAGGAGTATTGAATATACATATATTTAACCTTTTTATTATATAGCATATTAAAAAGCAGAGACATTACTTTGCCAACAAAGATCCATCTAGTCAAGGCTATGGTTTTTCCAGTGGTCATGTATGGATGTGAGAGTTGGACTGTGAAGAAAGCTGAGTGCCAAAAAATTGATGCTTTTGAACTGTGGTGTTTGAGAAGACTCTTGAGAGTCCCTTGGACTGCAAGGAGATTCAACCAGTCCATCCTAAAGGAGATCAGTCCTGGGTGTTCATTGAAAGGACTGATGCAGAAGATGAAACTCCAATACTTTGGCCACCTCATTCGAAGAGTTGACTCATTGGAAAAGACCCTGATGTTGGGAGGGATTGGGGGCAGGAGGCGAAGGGGACGACAGAGGATGAGATGATTGGATGGCATCACGGACTCAAGGGACATGAGTTTGAGTAAACTCCAGGAGTTGGTGACGGACAGGGAGGCCTGGCGTGCTGCGATTCATGGGGTTGCAAAGAGTCGGACACGACTGAACAACTGAGCTGAATAAAAAAAAATTTGAAGTATAATGAAAAGTTATGCTTCAACGGTCAGAATTGAGGTGAGGAGGGTCAGAAGACGTTAAAACCCTGTCCTAGCATAATAGGAAATAATTACAGAACGCCTAAAAATGATGCAACAAGATAGCCTAAGTTAGGAATACAGGGATAAACATCAAAAAAAAGGCTAAAAAAAAAAAGTCAGGAACTGCTAACTTCTCATGTCTTTCAGCATATTAAATTTAAAAACACAAATGAACTGACAACTATTTTGAAAACATCAGGAAAACGTTTAAGGCGAAACAGCAGAATATGTTTGGAAACGTGTTTGCAGTCACTGCTATTCGTCATCATATATTAGAATCTATGTGAACGCAAAACAGAAAAGAAGGTAAGAAATTTAGAAATTTCTTTAAGCACTTAGAAATTTATTTAAGCACTGCTGACAGATAATACTCACTGGAACTAGAACACAATAGGAAAGCAAAAGTAACGTTTTTATTCTCCATGAGGTTCTGCCTTATTCGTCTTGGGTACCCAGAACTGTGTTAACAAGAGTGGGGCCCCGTGTTTATAAACAGAAAAAGAAAGAACTTAAGGGAGGAGAAAGGGGAAACATCTCAAGTTGAATGAAAGGCACAAAAATCACTAGTAAGCCCCAGAGGTACACACCTTATTCTAAAATACGTATACAACTCAACTCCGATGTTTTCCTTAATGGGAGAAACTAGTTTGCAGGCGTAGTCAAACCAGTTTCAACTTCAAGTGAAAAGTCTAGGTAAGATCCTGCACCCCCACTGAACAGCTAGCTCCCCGGGATTCTCGAAAATCACTCTCAACTGCTCAAAGAAATTCCCTATCAAGAGAGGCCATTCCTAGTACTTTGCACACAGTAAGCATTTGATATATACAAGGGGCTCCCACTTCAGCAACATCCTTCGCCGATCTGGAAGACGGCTTTCCGTCCAGAATTCCCTCTCCAAGGTTCTAACTTCTGGTTCCGCAGCCAGGCTGCCAGCTCTCCCCGCTACGCCTCAATCAACATCAAACCCAGTCCCGGGAGAGAAGGTTTCTGGGGCTTCCTTCTCTTCCCCGCGGGAGTGCGTGGCCAAGCCCGGTCGAGTAACCGCACCGCCCCCCAGCCCTGTCCCCTACGTCCCTGCCTCACCTGACTGGTCGCCGCTGTAATACTCCGAGTCCATGGCAGGCGGCTCTCGGCGGGGAGTGTCTGGGCCCCGCGCCGCCCCCGTCACTTCCTTGCCGGCGCTGTGACCACCGATAGCGCGGCCCGGTGCTCAGAGGCTCCCGCCCAACTGGAGTTTTGGGAGACTGCGGAGAGTAAGGCAGCAACGGCGGCAGACGCGCGCACTTGGACCTACAAACGCCGGCAGAAAAGGCCGTACCCTGCTGGCGACCAAGGCGCGCGGGTCAATGAGCTACTTCCCAGAAGCACCTCTGGGCCAAAATGGCGTCTGCCCCCGACCCTCAAAAGAACGCAGTGCGCAGGCGCTGTCACATGATATCTGGCCAATGAGAAGACTCAACGGTATGACGCACGGCATGGCCGGAAAGGGAACTTGTGGGGAAATTGAGCGGGAGCCCCGACTGCAATTAAAATCTTCTTGGAGGAAACTGGTCTGTTCCCCATGGAGATGATAGTGTTACTTTATGGGTTCTCCGCACGTGCTTTGTTTGAGTACCTTCTGGAGTATTGTTCCGAAAAATGAAGACTCGCTAAAATTAAATTTTCCATCATACGGAAATTAACTATCGTTCCCATCATGCAGCGAGGCGCTTGATTCCCGCCCTTAGTACGGGAAGTGGCGCATTTTCTTCTGGGACTTGTAGTTCGAAGCCTAGCGAGCTATGATGTGTTACCAAGTGGCCTGATCAAAAGAGCCTCTTTTCAAGGCATTTTTCGTCCTTTCTTTTTAAAAATTACGACTTAATTTCCATCTTAAGAAACCATTTGGTTTACAATAGAAAGTACAGGTTTTTGCTTCCAGAAGGGTTCCCGGATGAAATCTTGCTGAAGTGACATTGTTGAACTTCACTTGAGCCCTACATGCTTGTGAGAAATAACAATGGTTGAGAAACTAACATGTCAGAACGCTGACTGTAAAGAACTATCCCTCTTCCTATCTCTCAAGTAAAGGTTATTCTCCGCTCTTTTTCATGAGACCTGTAAGACTTAGAGATGACCGCCTAGTTTACCCATGACAAGGCAGAAGACCTTTCCCCTTTCTTCTGAACCTGCTCAGATCTTGCCACTTTCTGTTCCTGTCTTTGCCACTCTAAAACTAGTGCTGTGCTGTGCTTAGTCACTCAGTCGTGTCTGAGACTCCAGGCTCCTCTGTCCAGGAAGAGACAAGAATACTGGAATGGGTTGCCATGCCCTCTAGGGGATCTTCCCAGCCCAGGGATGGAACCCAGGTGTGCTAGCGGATTCTTTACCGTCTGAACCACCAGGGAAGCCCAAGAATACTGGAGTGGGTAGCCTATCCCTTCTCTAGGGGAACTTCATGACCCAGGAATTGAACAGAAGTCTCCTGCATTGCATGCAGATTTTTTTTCCAGCTGAGCTACCAGGGAAGTCCCCAAATAACTAGATGCTGGAATAAGCATTTTTCTGTTCTCGTTACTGTTTGAAACTTCTGATTGCAAATCGATTACAACTATAAATCCTAGGATTTATAAGAAAGTCTCAGACATCCCCATCTCCCCTGTACTAGATACTCTGATCTTCATATCTGGTGTACTCTCTCCCTATTGCAATACCCTGAATAAAGTCGATTTTCTTGCTTATTTTTGTCTTAAATAGAGAAGACAATATTACTGCCTTTAGATTGGAGGAAGTATAGGAAATATTCCCGAGGAGGTGTAGCCTTGCAGAAATAGGGCCTTTCATTAGTTGGCAAGGCATACATCTTGGACTGGACTTCTAGGCATACCTAGCCTGCTATAAGGACCCATGTGGTGCCCTGAAAAGCCCACATTCTACCTTGGAGTTCAGATTTATGAATTTTATGATGTTAGCTATATTATGCGGACAAGGCAATGGCAACTCACTCCAGTACTCTTGCCTGGAAAATCCCATGGACAGAGGAGCCTGGGAGCAGTCCATGGGGTTGCTACAAGTTGGACACTACTGAGCAACTTCTCTTTCACTTCTCACTTTCATGCATTGGAGAAGGAAATGGCAACCCACTCCAGTGTTCTTGCCTGGAGAATCCCAGGGACAGAGGAGCCTGGTGGGCTGCTATCTACGGGGTTGCACAGAGTTGGACACGACTGAAGTGACTTAGCAGCAGCAGCAGCAGCAGCTATGCTATGAATTCTGAGAATGTCATTAGTGAAGCCACATCCCAGCTTTGATAATCCTGGAACCATTGTTAACCAGTCAGATTACTTTGGCAGAACCCAGTTCTAGGCTACAGAAAAGGACATGGAAAGGAAGAGAGAGGGATGGTTTCTCTAGAAATTACCATTTTCTTGCAAGAAAGTTCATAGGCAGTCTTTCACCTGTACATACAGTGGAAAATAGCTTTGAAGTCCCAGTCTACCCCTTCAGCTGTAGGAATGACATCTTCTTAAGCTATTGTGAGAATCATAATAGCAAGGAATTAACAGTGCCTGGAACTAAAGGTAGAAAATTTAAAAATTCATTTCCTTCCATTTAGTAGAAAAGGGCCCAGGATCCACCTCTCTTCCAAAGAGATCAACCTCTCTTCTAAGAGGTTGTACCTGTGTAATAAGGTGAGTGAATAGGGCAGAAATCCAAGAAGAGAACACACTGCAAATCCTGTCAATAAAGATCTTATAGTTTCACCAAAGGTATACAACCAACAGCTATGAAAGTAATTGGGCTAAGCAATGCAATTACAAAAGGATAATGACTGAATTTTAACATAATTCTAACTGTCCTGATGGTTTAGAGAATGGATAAATAGAAACAGACTGAACACAGCATAATGTGCAGAGAGTCAGAAGGCTGTAAGGAAAGTGTCGGATCTATGTTTTATACTCAAGAAGCCATTAACTTAGTGAGATAGGACAGGCTTTTTGAAACAAACATAAGAGTCTTGGTTAAAGCATTGTGCTTGCAAATGCAAACACAGCTCCAGGAGAGTTTTCCAGAGCCCCTTTCCACCAGGTGGCTGTCTTTCAGAGCCTCCAAAGGACAGATCTTGGAGCAGAACAGATACGCTTTCTGAGTCTTGGCTGCCTTGCATTTTGAAGACCACCATCTCTCTCCACTCCTCGTTCCAGTCCCAGCACAGCTGGTGGTAGAGAGGCCACTAAGCAGGGAGGCTGTTTTTTCTAAGTATACTAAAGATAGAGAAGAGACATGAGAGACATGGGAGAAATGGGCTTGTGGCAGTCCTGAACTCTGTTTCCCTTGACTGATAACCATGCAAGAATTATCCTTCCAGCCTTTTGAGGCACTGCAACTTGCTGAATATTTCTGGGAGTGAAAAGTCATACAATATCAAGAGCAGCCTGGCAGTGGCAGAACTTCAGGCTTGGGGATCAGAAATCTGGGTTCTGTGTCAAGCCCTTATTGTGTTAGATGAGGGAGTTGAATCAGATTTCAAGGCCCCTTGTTGTTGTTGTTCAGTCGCTAAATCATGTCTGACTCTTTGCAACCCCATGGACTGTAGCATGCCAGCTTTCCCTGTCCTTCACTATCTCCCAGAGTTTGCTCCAACTCATCTCCGTTAAGTCGGTGATGCTATCCAACCATCTCATTTTCTGTTGCCCCCCTTTCCTCCTGCCCTCCCATCAGGTGGCCAAAGTATTGGAGCTTCAACATCAGTCCTTCCAATGAATATTCAGGGTTGATTTCCTTCAGGATTGACTGGTTTGATCTCCCTGCTGTCCAAGAGACTCTCAAGAGTCTTATCCAGTGCCACAATTTGAAAGCATCAACTCTTTGACACTCAGCCTTCTTTATGGTCCAACTCTCACATCCACATATAAGTCCTGGAAAAACTATAGCTTTGACTATACGGACATTTGCTCTCATAGTGCTTTTTAATACATTGTCTAGGTTTGTCAAAGCTTTCCTTCCAATGAGCAAGTGTCTTAATTTCATGGCTGCAGTCACTGTCCACAGTGATTTTGGAGCCCAAGAAAATATCTGTCACTGTTTTCACTTTTCCCCTTTTATTTGCCATGAAGTGATGGGACTGGATGCCATGCTCTTAGTTTTTTGAGTATTGAGTTTTTAAGCCAGCTTTTTCATTTTCCTCTCTCACCTTCATCAAGAGGCTCTTTAGCTTCTCTTCACTTTCTGCCACAAGAGTGGTGTCATCTGCATATCTGAGGTTGTTGATATTTCTCCTGGCAATCTTGACTCCAGCTTGTGATTCATCCAACCTGGTATTTTAATGGCATATTCTGCATAGAAGCTAAATAAGCAGGGTGGCAATATATACCCTTGATGTAATCCTTTCCCAATTTTGAACCAGTCCATTGTTCCATGTCTAATTCTAACTATTGCTTCTTGACGTGCATACAGATTTCTCAGGAAACAGATAAGGTGGTTCGGTATGTCCATCTTTTTAAGAATTTTCCACAGTTTGTTGTGATCCACACAGTCAAAGTCTTAAGCATAGTCCGTGAAGCAGATCTTTTTTAGAATTCCCTTACTTTCTCTCTTATCCAATCAATGTAGGTAATTTGATCATGGATTCCTCCACCTTTTCTAAATCCAGCTACTACATCTGGAAATTCTTAGTTCACATTCTGCTGAAGCCTAGCTGAAAGGATTTTAAATGACATTACCTTGCTAGGATGTGGAATGAGCACAGTTGTGTAGTAGTTTGAGCATTCTTTGACACTGCCTTTCTTTGAGATTGGAATGAAAACTGACCTTTTCCAGTCCTGTGGCCACTGCTGAGTTTTCCAAACTTGCTGACATTGTATTTTAAGAGCACCATCTTTGGATTTGAAATAACTCAGCTGGAATTCTATCACCTCCACTAGCTTTGTTCATAGTAATGCTTCAAAAGGCCCACCTGATTTCACACTCCAGAATGTCTAGCTCTAGGTGACTGACCACTATTTTCATTATTCTCTGTTTCATTATTATTATTATTATTCTCTGTGAGAGAAGCCATCTCCAAGTCTGACCTGCCTTCTTGTGCTTGAGCCACTAGGGGTCCCTGCAGGTGAAGAAACAAATGAAACAAGTGCATTC